TAAGGAGAAGACTCATGGTTTTCACATAAGCACCTTGTAAAACCAATAAAGGCAGAAAAGTGCCTGTCTTAGTATGGATCTTATAAAAGTATATATTTCATTTGGTAGCAGCATCCTATTGTGATAACTGCGTTATGACTTAAAAAAAAAAGTTTCTGTGGTCTAAAAAGGGTGGGATACTTAGCAGGAAAACTTGCTGAGGCTCTCAGATCAAGGCAGCCGGATCTCAGCATCACTGACAGAGACGTCCTTTGTGTTCAGATTGCTGGCCTCTGTCATGACCTGGTGAGTAATACATCCCTTTTCAATATTAATATAATAGTTTTATAAATTATGTTATTGGGTATGAAAAGAGTAAAATGAAAGTGAAATGATCAGAAATAACCCTTCCATCTTTCAAAAAAGCAAGGCTTCTGCATTAATAAATAAAAATACGGAGGGTGGGGTGAGGTGGTGGTAGCTCGGTCTGTAAGGACTCTGATAAGAACTGGAGGGTCTGAATCTTTAAAAATAATATTTAGACTCAGAATTTTTTTTAACCCAGAGGGCGTTTCGGTACCACAGTCCACCCAGACCATGCATACATTTACAACACATAACAGTCTTTCTTGTAAGCAATATTCTCAAGTTTAGATTCAGGAGTAATCCGTTCAAACTCAACAAGACATACTGACTGTATAATCTGTACACTATCAATGGATTACGCCTGTATTTATCTATCCATTTCAAGGTCATGGACCCTTTTCCCATCTGTATGATGGACTGTTCCTCCCCAAAGCACTGGAAAAAAAGAGGAAATTAAAGAAATGGAAGGTAAGAAGTTTTTATTTCTGTTATTTCTTTACTCATAGTTTTTCTTTCTTTTTCTTTTTATATCTATTTATATCTGCACCTTATTTTTATTTTTACATGTAAATACATGCTGCTGTTTTTTATCCTGCACTACAACGAGCCAAATGCAACGAAATTTCGTTCTTATCTGCACTGTAAAGTACAAGTTTGAATGACAATAAAGAAAGTCTAAGTCTAAGTAATATAACAAATGAAATACAGAGGAACGGCAAAACTGAAGCACATGTACCTTTCACACTGGCTTGTTCTTTTGAAACAAAATCCAGGATGTTGATTTTTGTTTGCTTTTTCAGGTGTAATGTGATTATGCACATTTCCAAGAATGTTGATCTATTTCTTTAATAACAATGAACTTTGTAGCTTGTGTTGCTAAATGACCCATACCCTGTTCTCTTTGGTAATAATATGTCAACTTTTTATCTGACATGTTACCGCTGTTCAGAAGCTCCATGAGATTTTAATAATGTTTCTGTTTTAACCATTAATCCTGGTGATTCAGGGATTTAGATACAACAAACAAAGATAATAATTGAATTCATGGTTCATGAGAGGTACTTATTTATGACAGGGACCTCTTTTAAAAGCAGAAGGGATTTCTAGATCTATTTATGTCTCTTTGTCACTCAATAAGAGAAGATAACCTTTATTCATCCTACAACGGGCAGCAAAGAGCAAGGATAGCCAAAAAAGAGCACACAGTGCACCATTCAATAACTTTAGATCAAAAGAGTGCGATTGTTGTGTTTACACCCAAACAAACCGGGCTAAAGGGGAAACGCCCCTTTGTTTCAGAACAACTTTTCCAAACAACCCAGGTGTGAAAAAACGCTTGGTGAGAAAACTGAGCTGCATTATCACCTTCCCAAAAACTCTTATGCTTAACAGTTTGACATCGGGTTGAGTTCAGCTAGCTAAATAACCCTGATAAAGACTGTTAAGATGTTGTATACAGTATATTGGCTGACATTAAGTGGCTCATCAAATTCTGAAGCGCTTTAGGAACTCTGACATTGTAAGTTGTTTTACATACATACGTTTGAGATATACTCTTCAAATGTGGGGAAAATTAAAGTATGTGGGATTATTGTATTTATGTATTAAATCTTGTGTTGACACATTTATGAGTCTGTGTGTCTCGCAGCATGAAAGGGGCTCTCGTCTCATGCTAGACCACCTGGTGAAAGAGAATAATCTTAAACCAATGATGAAGTATGGACTGAAACCTGAAGAAGACATAACATTCATTAAGGAGATGATTGCTGGACCTCTACAGGAATCTAAAGAGCAGGAGGCAAGTTCACCTCATTATGTTTTTCAGAAGTCGGATAAGATACTGTATGAATATTAGATAAGAGAAGATAAAACTTTATTCATCCTACAACGGGCAGCAAAGAGCAAAGATAGCCAAAAAAGGAGCACACAGTGCACCATTCAATAAAAAAATAGATCAAAAAAGTTGAGCAGCTAAAAGAGTGTGATTGCTGTGTTCACATATTTATCAAACAAACCGGGCTATGGTTTCAGAACAACTTTTCCAAACTATCCAGGTGTGAAAAAATCCTTAGAGAGAAAACTGAGCTGCAGTATCACCTTCCCAAAAACTCTTATGCTTAACAGTTTGACTCTGGGTTGAGTTCAGCTAGCAAAATAACCCTGATAAAGACTGTTAGGCTGTTGTATACAGTATATGTCCACAGAAGATTGGCTGACATTAAGTCACTCATCGAATTCTGAGGAACTCTGACATTTAAAGTGTTTACACACATTTTGAGATCTACTCTGCAAATGTTGGTTGTGCTATTTGTGTAGTTCCTTGTCTTCTTGCAATATTTTTCATGATTTGATGAAAGCGAAGCATGGATTGAAACCTGAACATGTGAAAAACATTAAGGTGATGATTGCTGAAGACCAGAAGGCAAGTTCTCATCTGTGCATAAATCAGTCTGTGTCCTACAGCAATGCCACTAATGTCACTATTTTGTAACATTCAGTATAAAGGCGGACAAGAAGAGTCCTTTTTGTTTTAAACGGTAAAAAAAGTTTTTCTTCTGCCAAGAACTCAGATCTTAAAATTGAACAGTTGTTTTGTTTGTCATGCTTTTTCATGTACATAGTTTATTGTGTTCATATTTTAGCTTTATCTCTGTTTTGTGGAATGGTCCTACATATTTTTTCTATGCAGTGTAAATTCATTGAACAACATACGTGTCAATAAAACTGGTCCTGATTCGCTTTGTGTCGTCATCCCTGCAGTTGCAGTTCAAAGGGCGCTCAAAAGAATGGTCCTTCCTCTATGAAATTGTGTCCAACAAAAAAAACGGCGTTGATGTGGACAAGTTTGACTACTTGGCCAGGTCAGGTTTTAATGAAGTGCTGTAGAGCAATTCATTTTGTGATGAAGACCGCGACAGCACTTCTTTTTTTTTTACCGTGAACAATGCATTATTCTCCTGATTTATTTTAAATTATAGGCTACAAAACTCTCCAGTAAATTCAGTTTCCCTCTGTACACCTATTTTCTTCACCTTGCCTCAATCTGCCTCTACTCAGGGACTCTTCCTACCTGGGGATCAAGAACAACTTTGACTTTCGTCGCTTCCTGCAGTTTGCCAGGGTGTGTGAGGTTGAAGACAAAGACTGCAAAGAAGGAAAAAGGAAAACTATCTGCACCAGAGACAAGGTGCTGACACACTTGAGCTTGTAAACAGATAATTGAAAGCAAACTGATAATGTTGTTATTTATGACTAAACTACAGTCCTAACCTCAACAGAAGGAAGACCATATGTACCACTTGTTCTATACAAGACACTGTCTCCACAAAAGAGCCTGTCAGCATAGAGTAAGCCACATCATACAAGAAATGTAAGTGTCTACCTTCAGAAGTTAGTACTCCAAATATAAGATTGGTCTCCTTCTGTTTTCGATTATTCAATCTGCATCATGATTCACTATCTCATCAGTAATAATATATTTGATATGAACATCCAGGATTGCAGAGGCTTTTTTGAAAGCAGACGATCACATTCAGATTGAAGGATCAGGAGGGAGGATGTTCACTCTCTCTACAGCCAATGAGGACATGGAGGCCTACACAAAGCTCACAGGTGTGTAGATTTAAATGTGTGCTGTTAGCTCATGTTCAACATTGAAGCCAATTCAGACTACAGGAGTATCAAGACATTGTTTAAATAATGCACTACACCCAACAATCTGAAAAGGAAATTGTGTGTAGGCACTTGGTCGGTTTTGATGTTTGGCCAAGGACAAGGTTATCTGGTAGTTTGAGGAGTTCACAAATCCAGTCTAAAACATCCTGAACAACTGGCTGTCCTGATCATTTGAACTTGTTTGATATTTAGGATGTTTATTTATGAAGTAACAGAAATATGACATATTTCAACACTTTTTGGAAACACACTTTGTTAGATGCTGCTTTCGGTCAGATGGCTCTGTTGCTAGGTCATTTACAGTTATGCTACTTTATCCATTTTTTTTATCGTGCATTTGTTAAAGATAAATAAACCACATCCTGTTAATTTACTTGTTATGACTTATAAATTAACATGCCATGTCTTACAATTTATTGCGTGTGTTTAAATTAAATTCACTAATTTTTGTGTGTGTTATTATCATTTGTTTGCTTGTTACTCTGTTACTCTTTTAGACAACGTGTTTGAGGAAATACTGAAGTCTTCCTGCTCAGAGCTAGAAAAGGCAAGAGAGATTCTGCAAAACATCATCTCTCGAAAGAGCTACAAGTTTGTTGGTGAGACAAAGCCAAAGGACCCATCCAGGATTGGGAAGTAAGTCTGTGTGTTCTTGTGTTTCATTACATTTATAACACATGATCTAATGCACTGTTATCACAAAGCTGGATAATGTGCTCATTTTCAGTTAATAGAATAAGTACACATCACATTATTTACTGTCTCCAGCATTTTATCTTGCCCGTGTTGTTATTACATTTAACATGAACAGCAACACTATTGAACAGTTCTCTTTTTGAAATGCAGTGTGAAATGGATAGCAGCTTGAAATGTCTTACAATACAAGATCCCTCTGTCAACTAATGCTGCATGATATTGGGGAAACTGCGATAACCTTTGAGGTTCATACAATTACAATTTGTATTATCATTTGGGCCTTCAATTCTATTTTCTTTTTCAAATAAAAACCCCTTATATGTTCAAAGTGACTTTTAATTTGCATCAAGAGCCCTGTGACAGTAAAGAACAGTTCATCGTCACACACTGCATGTGATCCCTTCAACTCTACATCTTATGTGCACATAGACTCTGCCTGCACAGAAGTCACTTCTCTTTGTGATCAGGAAGAGGATCAGACAGACTGATATTGTAGATCAGTCATGGAAAGAGAGAAACTGAAGGCTTTTTGTTTTTTCAAAAGCAAAAACAACAAAAAATGGCATGAAATGACGCATTTCAGGACATATGATTGATATTATATATTCTGTAATGTTATCATAGCACTTGTACACATACGCAAAAATGATGCTTAAATCATACCATGCAGCCCTACAGTCAAAAATATCTACACTAAGTTGGTGCAGTTTTTTGAGTGAATGTGAAATGAATTCCAAGTTGCTTACATTGTCAACTTAAAATGCAAAAAACCTTTTCTATCCTTTCGCACTCTTCTCAACGTTTCTGCTCCATTTTCAAGAGCCTGATTCCTAGCTGGAAAAAAGGACTGGCTGAGGGAGAAAGAAACCTGACACCAAAGGACTTTGAAATCCTGGTGAGTTTTTTTGACTTTCTTTCATTTCACCTTTTTGTAAAGTCTTGGGTTTTGCAGATTTTTTGATTTGTAAGATGTTGCAAAATTTGTTACTGCAGACATACTTTTATTCTCAACCTTCATTTTAGGTCATTGAAATGGACTATGGCATGGACGACAAGGACCCTATCCAACATGTTCATTTCTACAGCAAATCTGAGCTTGACAATCAAAGCTAATGCCCGAAGAAAAGGTAAGAACTAAATATTGATTAAAACATTTTTTATCGCAATATTTCTTCTGTTTATTGGGCTCCATTGTTTACACCCGTGAACAGCTGGTTGCGCTGTGTTCACGGAGACATGGCTGAATGAACTCACTCCGGACACGCTCGTAACTTTGGACGGCTTCCAACTCGTCAGAGCGGACCGGAGCGCGAGGGAGAGCGGTAAGAAGAAAGGCGGGGGAATAGCGATGTATGTGAATGAGAGGTGGTGTAACTCTGGGCACATCACCGTTAAAGAACAGCGCTGCACTAAGGATGTGGAGCTGCTGGCTGTAAGCATTCGGCCATATTACCTGCCGAGGGAGTTTTCACACGTCATCGCGGTGACTGTTTACATCCCCCCCCTCGGCAGACGCTGCTGCAGCCTGTGAACTCATCCACAGTGTAGTGTCTCAGCTACAGACATCACACCCCCAGTCTCTTACTCTCATCTCAGGAGACTTTAACCACGTTTCCCTGTCTGCCACTCTCCCTACTTTCACTCAGTATGTTGACTGCCATACTAGGGACAATAAAACTTTGGACTTACTGTATGCAAACACCAAGGCTGCATACAGATCATCACCCCTCCCCCTCTGGGCCGCTCAGACCACAACCTGGTGAGACTGCAGCCCATTTACATACCTATGGTGAAAAAACAACCCCCCACAACCAGGTATGTGAAGAAGTGGTCTAAGGAGGCCACTGAGGCGCTGCAGGACTGCTTCGACACCACTGACTGGGAGGTGCTGTGCAGCCCACATGGGGAGGACATCGACGGTTTAACCCATTGCATCACAGATTACATAAACTTCTGTGTTGAGAACACTGTAAGTGAATAAATAAGGTGCAGATATAAATAGATATAAAAAGAAAAAGAAAGAAAAACTATGAGTAAAGAAATAACAGAAATAAAAACTTCTTACCTTCCATTTCTTTAATTTCCTCTTTTTTTCCAGTGCTTTGGGGAGGAACAGTCCATCATACAGATGGGAAAAGGGTCCATGACCTTGAAATGGATAGATAAATACAGGCGTAATCCACTGATAGTGTACAGATTATACAGTCAGTATGTCTTGTTGAGTTTGAACGGATTACTCCTGAATCTAAACTTGAGAATATTGCTTACAAGAAAGACTGTTATGTGTTTGTAAATGTATGCATGGTCTGGGTGGACTGTGGTACCGAAACGCCCTCTGGGTTAAAGTTTTCTGAGTCTAAATATTATTTTTAAAGATTCAGACCCTCCAGTTCTTATCAGAGTCCTTACAGACCGAGCTACCTCCACCTCACCCCACCCTCGTATTTTTTATTTATTAATGCAGAAGCCCTTGCTTTTTTGAAAGATGGAAGGGTTATTTCTGGATCATTTCACTTTCATTTTACTCTTTTCATACCCAATAACATAATTTATAAACTATTATATGTAATATTGAAAAGAGATGCATTACTCACCCAGGTCATGACAGAGGCCAGCAATCTGAACACAAAGGACATCTCTGTCATCGATTTTGAGATCCGGCTGCCTTGACCTGAGAGCCTCAGCAAGTTTTCCTGCTAAGTATCCCACCCTTTTTAGACCACAGAAAACATTTTTTTAAATTATAACGCAGTTATCACAATTTATTTATATATATTTGTATTCATATTTTTTATTCGATCCATACTAAGACAGGCACTGTTTTCTGCCTTTATTGGTTTTACAAGGTGCTTATGTGAAAACCATGAGTCTTCTCCTTATTTGGACTGAGGTCACCTGTGGGCTGAAATCTGAAAACTTGCTGACTTACCCGATCGAGTGTTCAAAGCGGCTGTGAGACGCTCCAGGGTAAACAAAGTAGACACCTCCAAGCTGCTTTATGAATCGAAGTCTCTGGAACTGAGGTGTGTCAATGATCTTGATGAGGAGTGGGAGTAACTCTATGCTACCATGGATGGGATCATTAAACACCTGGCAGAAAACAAACAAACAAAAGCTAAGAAAAATGAAATGTGTAAAACAATACACCATGAAGACCAGCTCAAGATTGTCTTGAGGGCTCTGGGAGGTATAGCATAAGCATGAAATGAGCCCCAAGAATAAAGCTGATGTTACAAAGAACGTTTTTTTGACTTTACCACTGGTTGGGATATTAAACATCTAGTAGAACAAAGAGAACAAAACATTGGACACTGAAAATGTCCTTTCAATACAAAGCGTGTCTTCCTATTCCTTTTTTTAAAGTATTGAAGGAAAGGAGAACAAAGAGGGTTGGTTTGGATAGTAAAGGTGCACAAAGCTAGCTGTCATCACCACTGGTGGGGATAATAAGCATCTAGAGAACAAAGTTAATTTGTTTGTTCTGTTTATTCTCTCTTATCTCTCCAGCCGCAAAAATGTGGTGTGATGTGTGGTAAGACGTGAAGTATTTTACCTTGGTGATGATCGGTCTGTAGAATAAAAAAAAAAAGCATTAACAGTATGAAGAAGTGCTGAAACTTCCAACTTAAAATGATTTCTTTATAAAGTTGGGATATTGTAAACTGGTTTAACAAAGACAGAGGTACTCACTGTTCTGCCATTTTGCCCCGACTAGATAAAAGAGTCGGGGCAGTCATTTATTAAGTAGTCTAACCTCAGTTTTACACAAGCTAAAAGGCAAAATTGGGAAATGAAACCATCAGTTTAAAATAACGATACAACTTACCAAAAGCCAACCATGAATTTAATCGACTATAACACACACACACACACACACACACATACACACACACACACACACACATGCATGAATGGTCAAATAAATGGCATGTCAGTCTTGATCATGTAATGTGCAAGTTGTATGAGTTACATACTTTGTACTTCTGCTTCAAATTCTCCCACCTCTTCTTCAGGGCGAGGACGGGGACTATCCCCTCCACCCCCATCTCTTTTGCACATGCTCTAATGAGAAGTGTAGTGTAATTGTAATGGGGTTAATACCAGGATAATATCACCTTTAAGATTATCTTCGAGTTAGATCATCACACGACATAGCACTGACATTGACTGTTAAGGCAAAATAGTATAGATTGTGAGCCCATATAGCCTGTCGTAGCTCTCGACAGCACCTATCCATGAAATCTACACATGCAAATGGTATAAGTTACTCGAACCCTTGCAGCGTTCTGCTGTCCGGTGAACAGATTGCTGTTCCGGGCTCTCCACCGGATCAGCTGCCGCTGTGGTCATCTGTCCCTGTGCAGTCAAAGCACTTGTTTTCAACATCACACAATAATAATGAGTAAATGTTTTTGAGCTTCTGATAACTCATTACAGGGTCGTGATATGCACTATGGTTCAGTGAATAATACAAAACGTGACATTGCATATAAACAATTTAACAACTTCACATTTGAAAGGCACGTTGCCCGAACCAGCTGCATCCATGGTCATTTGTTTTGCTTTGGAAGCACGTGAAGTGCCATAGGAAGTGATGTTTTATATTTACGTTTCTCGCACAGCATTGTGGGAGTTAGTATACAATTCATTGAAATGTTCAGTATACTGCACGGACCCAAAAAATGCTGAAAGCTCCATACTGAATAGTTTGTACTGCAT